TTTGTTTCATTCCTCCATTTTATTATACTTTCGTCTTATCTATTTTCTTGTTTATTTTTTATTATTTTTTTTTTTTTTTTTAATGTAATGCACGAATTGTAACACCATTTTTAACGGTCCTACCTCATCATATATATATATATTACATACGTCGAAATACGTCCTTCACAAATAAATTATTATTAATGTGTGTTACGAGCTACGAATTTTCTTTTTTTTTTTTACAATTTTTTTTATTGTTTTATTATTATTATTATTATTATTATTATTATTATTATTATTATTATTATTAATATTAATATTTATTCGTTTAGCGATTACATACGAATTTTATTTTCCTTTCTTTCTTTCTTTCTTGCTTTCTTTTTCTTTTTTTTTTTTACTACTTCCTCTTCCTCCATTTTTATTTTATTTTTTTTAATTTTATTTTTATTTTTATTTTTATTTTGCGCGCGCGAATATAATTTCTTGTTATTCGTAAGAATGTAAACGTAAGCATTTTTATTCTTTTTTATTTTTTTTGCTTTCTTTCGATAAAACGTTTTTACAACGTTTCCCATTTTTTTTTCTTTTTTATTAATTTTGTTTTTCTCTTTACGCGTGATTATATTCAAGATTATTATTATTATTATTATTATTAGTATTTATTAATATTAATATTAATTATATTTCGACGTTTTGAATTTGGTTAGAATTTAAATGAATACGAATATGATTTAATCATGATTTGATTAATGTTGTTACAACCATGATGAATGCAGTATCCAAAATGAACTATTATTATTATTATTAATTAATTAATTAATTAATTAATCGATTAACGATTAAACAAAAAAAAAAAGAAAAAAAATTAAACTCGTATTATTTATAATAAACGGCCGCCTTCTTTTGTTGTTGTTTAAAAACCCTCGTCACGTTTAACACGTTTCTTTTCTCGTGCAAGGATCTCATAATGACGATAATTAAAAAAGGGCGCGAATTTTCAAATGTAGTTTACAATACTACCATTTATCATTTCTAAAAATCTTACGTGCAAATTTTTACAAACTTCATATCCCATTTTTTTTCTTTTATCGTACATTCATGCACTCTCTTTCTTTTTTTTTTGTGTATTTTGGTTTCTGTTTTTTTTTATCACTATCATTTTGAGGTTAGATAATCGTTAATCGATACCCATAATCGATATGTTACAAATTTGTCTTCGTTTCGTGTCTTTTTTATGCGAAAAAATATTATTTCAAATTATCATTTTTATTATTTAAAGATTTTTCAATATCATTCAAATATTCTTTTTTCAAAATTCTAATTTCAAGATGTCTGTAGAATCGCATTGGAACTTTCTTCATGATTTTCTTTTTCTTTTATTAATATTATTCTTATATTTCTTAAGCAAAAAATTGAGATATTAGTATAATCGTGTTAAAAATGTGTAGTTCATTTATTTTTATTTTTTTTATTTCTATCTTTCTTTATCTATAATAATATTTTAATAAATATATATTCGGATGGATATATTTTCATTGATAACATCTTGAAATTAGAAAATAAAATCGACGATTCCCTTGCACTCGAAAGAACCGTGCTCACACGTTATCCACTATTTATTTATTTATTTATTTATTTATTTCAATATATATATATATTTATATAATATTATTTAACATGAATGTGTGATTTTGGGCCCAAGGAAAGTGGGGGAAATAGGGTGGGAGAGGTTAGGTTATTAAAATATGAACAAGATGGTAGAATTTTATAATGTTGGATGATAAATTTGTGTGGGTGGTTGATAAAATATGTAGGGGATCCACGTATTTCAATGATTCATCAAAATTTGAATAAAAATTCGCACAAACATAAGTGATAACGACTTTCTTAATCACTTATGCGATAATACACTCCATTTTGTTTTTCTTCTTTCTGTCTCTTAAATTTCTAATTTATGTATATCATCCCTTATAGTACGTACGTAATTATGTAATTCATGTTATTATGTATTTTATGTATGCATGAATGTGTGTAAGTATTTTTAAGTGTACGTACGTATTTATATGTGTATTTATATATTTATTATTATTATTATTATTATTATTATAATAATCTATAACTATTGCTCGTTTTCTTCAGTCTGACGCGCATATTTAATGAAAATCATACGAATTATTCGCATAATCGGAGTCAAGGTATATATATATATATATATGTATTATTTATATGTACCTTTTTTTTTCAAACGTCTGTTGAACTCACCGCCATGATTTGTTTTTTTTTAATCTTATTTTTCTATTTTTATTTTATTACATTTTTATATTTATTTTAACTTTACGCACATCCATTTGTTTTATTTTATTTTATTTTTTTCTTTCATTGAACGTCCATACTGTCGAAAGAATTTCAATTCTTTGAAAGATAATAAAACTAGGGGAGTTTCATAATTACTTAATTAAAAAATATAATAACAATATTAATAACAATATTAATAATAATAATAATAATAATAATAATAGTAATATTAAAAAAAAAGAAACATATTTATTTGATCAATATTATAAAAAAATTCTTGATCAGTTATTTTGTTAAATTAATGGTCAGTATGTATACAAAATAATGTTATTTATTATAAATAATAAATTGTTGTCAATATTTTAATTACTAATCAATGTTTATAACAAAGTATGGTTGCGTCAGAGTTGCGTCAGGTTCCTCCTGACGAAAGAAAACAAAAAAAATGGGTTGCGTCAGGTTATCGTCAAAGTTGTGTCAGAATTAATTATTAATAATTAAAAACATGTTTAATAATATTTTATTATAATTACTGACCATTTATTTAATAAACCAAAGTAAGAATATGTCGATAAATATTGAACCAATAAATAACAAAATGAATAATAATATTAATAATAATAATAATAATAATAATAATAATAAATGAGCCCATCGCAATAAATTGTCTAAATCCTCATTGGACGATGTTGCCAGTCTCGATTTCTCCAAAAAACGAACGGCAGGATTTGCAGTTTATTTTGTTTATTTGTTTGTTTATTTATTCATGTGTATTTTGTTTATAATTTGAATTTTTTCCTCCCCCTATTCATTCATTCATTCATTCATTTAATTCATTTCATCTTTCTCTTTCTTTTTCTTATTCTTATTTTTTGTTTTTTTTTTTTTCCTATCTAAATATTTCTTTCTCTCTTATATCATTTTATTTTTTTAATTATTATTTATTTTTGCAAAAAAATATATATAGTCGTCAATCTTTCATCATTTTGCAAAAGAAGAAATCTTTTTTTTTTTTTTACAGTCACATAACTCACTATACTTTTTTTTTTTTTTTTTAATCATTTTACAACTTCCATCGAGGTGTTTAACAAACAGGAACTTTTTTTTCACTTTTTTTTTGTTTATGCATATTTTTTTTCATTAGCACATCTTTTGTTTGTTTGTTTTTTTTTTTTTTGGTTTTGTTAATTGATGTACTCAAAACTTTTCAAACTTATTATACCAGTTTCTTTGTTTGTTTGTGTGTATCTTGTGTGGGAATCGCGCAATCAACAAAACAAGGCGCGAATTTTTTCAAAAAAATGAACAAGTGTATGCGAGTCAAACATATGTATATGTGTGTCTCTGTGTATATCTATTTGTTTAACAAGTATGCATGCATACTCATTAACATTTCATTGAAAAAACATTAATCAACATTATCAATCAATTTTTTGTTGCTATTTGTTGACTTCATTTCACTTCTCAAAGTTTTCATCGTCGTCATCATCATCATCATAATCATTTATTAAAAATCACGTTAATTACTTTCTGTGTCGACTATAAACATTTTCTTCTTCTGTTCTCCATTTTGTTCTTCTTTTTTTTTCTTCAATTTTTTCAATTCTTCGAAACGTCACTCACAAAGAAGGGGTCAGCGGTTATGGGAGTGGAGAAGTGAGGTTAGGACAGAAAAAAGTAGAGTCGTTTCGAAAACAAATCATCGATAATTAAATCCTGTAAAATTTACGAATCATTTTTTATCTTCTTGTTTTTTTCTTTTTTTTTCTCATCTTCTTGAATATTTCCAAATGCACGCACGCACTCATCGCGTTTTTGTTTTTATTTTCTTTTTCGCCATTTTTTTCTCTTCTCTCTCACTCACTTTTATTCATTAATAATTAAATTTTTTTTTTGTTTTTGTTTAAATTCTTGTTCGCGCGTAGATTAATTTGCGTGACGCGTTTTATTTGACATTTTTTTGCTTATTTGTTTGTTTGTTTGTTTATTAATATATTATGTATTATTATTATTATATTGAGTTTTATTTTTTTTTTGTATACTTTTTGCGTACCTTAAGTATAAATCTGTAGGAGTATCAAAATGGTAAAAATGGTGCAAATGAAGACCAAGAGCACAGGTAGAATCAAAACGAATCTTACAGAGCGGCTTAAGCCGCTTGGCTCTTGTCATACAGCCTGTTGTTGTTCACCTGATTCTGTTGATGCATCAAAAAGTGGACGTTCAGCTGCTTGTTGTTCTGTGGACGTTGCCGATGCCACGCCGCCATTATTAACGGCGCCATTGTTCGTACTTTCGCGTCTTGTTTTACTTGAGCCGCCGGAGAAACACAAACAAACCGATTGATTACGATTTCTTTTCAATGTTGGTTTATTTTCCCTAATCTGTTCTGCCAAACATTTTTGATAATAATCGTAATCCTTCAGATACCTGTTAAAAAAAAAAAAAAAACACACACAAATGTAATTAGGAGGTTAATATTTTGTTACATAATCAAAGAAACAATTAAATTCAATTTATTAATTGTGCATGATCAATTTTGTATTTTACAATACAGTAATATCACTACTTATTATTATTATATTTAATTTTTAAATAAGTATACTTATTTGTCAAATATATATATAGGGTGGTTTATCAATTATTAACACATAAAATATATATATTATTAATTTTTTAAATATATATTGCTATAATATAGAAGTTTGTTTATTAATTTATAATACAAAAATTATATAGCATGTAAATATAAGAAATTTTAAATATATATATTTATATTATATTATATATTATATTTTATTTTTTTCTTTTAATATTTTTATATGATATTTTATACTTTTTTTTATATTTTATATGAAATATATAATATATCATATATTGGGATCTCTATAAGAACTTGAATACGCTATCTGTTGGCTAAATTCAAAATTAGAGTAGATAGGTCGAATTGCTACGTCACGCCCCTGCCAAAGATCCCAATATATTAAGTGTATAACTTTGTTTCCACTATTTTCCTACAGATGGCTTATAGAAAAAATGGCGGAAACATAAGTAAAGTGCAACGATCATCTAATTAGTATACCACCCTGTACATATACATGACAAATTTAATTTTATAGTATTAAAATAATAAAAATAACATACCAAACTGGGGGCCATCGATGTTCGTTCAAATATTCCTGATTTTCTGGATGAAGTAAACGAACGCTACGAGGTGACATCTTACAAAGTTTATTATAATTAACGCACAAATGATTCATACACCAATCCGCCAATTGATCCGCGTTGTGTAACTATAAATTTCAATCAAGATATAAATTAAAAAAATTGTCATTTATTAGAATTGAAAAGAAAAATAATAATCTTAACCTAACTTTGTTTTATTTGACCGACCTTGCATGGTTCCAAAAGTCTCAAACAATTTTCAACAGCCTCATTTCCTTCATTCTGAGAAAGTCTTTTAAGATCCTCAATGACTCTGCTTTCAACGAGATTAACCAATCTCGGTAAACACAATCTATTTGCTAATTCCAAAAGGTTTAAACACCTGGCCGAAGAAATGGCTGGTACTTCGTCCGTGTACAAATAACACAGTAATTTATGAAACGTGTATTCCCTTACACCTGGAAATACTATCTGCAATGTAAAATAATAATTACAATTATTATTAGTAATCAGTCCAACCATCCCCACCCCTAACCCTACCCCTACCCCTACCCCTTTTGTATTATAATTTCATTAAAGTTATAAAAAAACATACGATTTTGGCGCTGCTTTCTCGAAAATCACCGGAAAACATTGCTTTCATGACGTCACATCTAGCAGTTAGTATAGCACGATGAGCTGGCATACTACCATCGTCCAATTCAAATACAACATCGGCAAATAATCCTATAATATTTTAAATAAACAAAATAAAAAATAATTTAAATAATATTTCATTATATTTGGATAATGCAATTATTAATCTTAAACATTAGAATTACGAATTTAGTTAATGTTACTCATTAAAAATTTGATTACCATATATATATTTAATATATATTTTATTTAATATTAGATTATTATTATAATTAGAATTATATTAGTTATATATATATATAATTAAAACGTATGGTGGTTTTTAGTTATACGTAATATTAAATATTATTATATTTAATTATAATAATATTATATGAATATTATATTAAATATAATAATATTTAATATAACGTATAACTAAAAATCACCATACATTAATATTAAATATTAATTCCTACCCACTATACCCCCCTTCTTCTTCATTAAAACAATGTTTATATTTTTACAAAAAAAAAAGAGTGATTTGTTTTTCAAACAAAACATTCGTAAATCTAATGTTAAATATAATTATTAAATAACATAAAATTGTATGTTTATGTGTGTTTACCTTGTTCAAGACAAATATCTTCGAGTCGTTGTCTAACCACTTGTTTGTATCGATTATTCAGATCACTGTTAGCAAATTGTTCACGTGTTTGTATGGTGCCAAGTACCATAAGTAATTGGGGTAATTCGAGAAACTCAGCTGCTTGTCTGATCTCCTGAAGTTAACAAACAAAACACCATGTTTTATTCTTTCTATCTCTCTTTCTCTCTCTCTCTCTCTCTCTCTGTTTTTTTTTTCTCTATTTTTTGTTTTTTTTTTTATAAATATCAATTTCGTAATGATAAATAAACTATGATGGATCGGTATGAACAGAATACGATGGTTGAATCTTATTCGTAAATTTAATTCACGATTAACATAATCAATGTGACTAATGATAAATTAATATTGTTATAAATAATATTTGTTCATGCAATTATGCGATTCAAATTTATTATTTTTATTAATTTAATCCTTTTAATTCATGCTGATCTAACAATGATATGAAAATCATTCATTTTTTGTTTTTCCTACGATAGAAATGACATTTGACCTAATTTCTATGATTAATTTTGACATTAAAAAAAAAGAAAAAAAAAACAAATTAATTATTCTATCAATTTGAATAAATATTGTTGATATTTGAAAAAAAAAAGGGTTGGGTGGAGGGATAAGAAAAAAAGAAAAAAACATGCCTTAGATGATATTAAATTTTTGTTTCGAATTAAAATACTATTCTCACTCGATGAAATGATTCTATTATAATGTATGCGTGCGTGTGCTCTCGTGCTAATGCTTGTATGTGTATGAGTGTGTTTAAAATGTTCACGTGAGTTTGTCAAACGTATTTTTTTTTTTTTTTTAGTACTAACCAGTAATAGCCCAATAGGAGCTGTCTGAAAGAATACAGCCGCGTTAGTTTTGTGTTTTGCTTTTTTTTGTTTTTAAATATTTTTTACTAATAAAATAATTTGTATGTTTTACTTATTTTTTTTTTTTTTTTAGATGTAATTCTTCATTTGACTGACGTTGTCGTTCATTATTATAGTTTAAATCGTGTTGAAATAAATATTAATTGAAAACATAACCTCAATGTGTGTATATTAAAGAGTATAGCGAAAGTAACCCTAGTGTATATTAAATATCATCATTAGATCGAAATTAATTTAATAAAAATTGATTACAGGTCTAAATCAAAATCTTTTAGATTCATAAAAAAAAAACAAAACAAAAAAATTAATCTCAAAATTATTATTCAAAATTAATTGTTTCATATTCGTGTTTAATTTTAGGGCTCATTTTGTAATCTCATTGCTAAATAATAATAATTATTATTATTATTGCGAGTTAAGTGGACAACTAAATCTCAAAAATTATTTTTTTAAAAATAATAATTAATTAATTAGTCAAATAGTATATGTAAAAAAAAAAAAAAAAATTGTTTAAATCCCAATTATAGAAAATTTGGTACTTACGTAGTATTAACGCCACCGCAGCAAAAATTTCGCTAATGCGCCAATAAAGAACAATCTTGTTGTTCGCACACAACAACAACCTTGTTGTTTGCACACAGCAACCGTCAGAGTTTGCGTCAGGGTTTTGTCAGGGTTAATGGCAACAGTATCAGATGAAATAAAATACAGCCTTTTTTGAATCTACGTTAAATTCTATATCGGCCCATTTTCCATCCCAAATCCGATTGTGACTACTTTTCATAAACAAAATGTTTTGAATTTTGAGTGTTTTGATTTTAAATAAATGTTTTTTATTCTACGATTTGTCGCAACAATTGAAGATGTAGATTGGCGCATTAAGCGAAATTTTGCTACAGTTGCGTTAATACGTAAATACCGCAAATTTATAGTTCAACCTTCGTATGTATAGTAGATTATAATAAATAAACACCCCCGCGTTTCCTTGTTTCACTTTTTTCAAGTGATTTTTGTTTCTTTGATTCCATTCGCATTGGGATGTACCTTTTCTGATAAAATATTCTACCGACCCAACGTACTTGTAGATCGTGATACCGTTTATCCAAGCTGCCTGTGTAGATGAACTGCAAACATTGCTGCATAGCTTGCGGCGTAATCAACTTCGAAAGTGTCACCACTGTAGTTGGTTGTTGTACACCATTTGAGTTTTCACTCTTCATAATATTTCATAGAACATAAATAATTTAAAAAAATATATATTAATTATATATGTTCGTACAACAGTAAAATAGAATACAAAAATGTATTAACACTTTAATGGCCGCACATGTACGCAGTCAAACGTCGCAAGGGGCCCGGTAATATTTGTCGAGAATTAATTTACACAAAAATTTTTATTAAATTCACGAAAAAACTAACATAAAAAAAAAACAACAACAACAATAATAAATTTAATTTTTTTTTATAATTTTAAATATATAAAAAGTTATAAATAAATAACGACCAATAAAAATTGTTCCAGCTATCACACATACATGTTGTGTGTGAGCAACCATTAAAGTGTTAATTAAAAAAATTTTAAGTGATAATCGTAAAAAAAAAAACTTAATTACCATTGACACGCGTATATTTTGAAAAGCAGGATGATTTAATTCCCTCGTAGCACCATTTGCTTTTCTTTGATTATCCATCGTTGGTAATACTTGAAAACTCGATCTTCTTTTCAATTGTTCCCATACTCTAAAAAAAAATATATATATAATACATATAAAGAATATCTTGTAAATCAAATATCACGAATAGTATATAAATAATACTACGTGTATGTGTGTTGGTAATGGATTTGAGAGATTAACTCACTTTGAGGGTTTACTTTGATCAATGCGAATGAGGCATTCGGTATCGTCGTTAAAATCACCGACAGTTGCCTCCCCGAAAGTACTGACCTAATTACACCCAACAAAATAAAACAAAATATTTATTTATTATTTTCATTAAAAATTAGATAATTATTTTTATTAATTTCTTTATGTGAAATATTTTTAAATGATTGATACTGTGGCTTTGTTATAAAACATTGATTTAGTTATGTCATATGAAAATCTGAAAAAAAACCTGAAATAATTGAATTGTGATACAACGCCATCTATCGATAAATTACATAACCTAGAAACTAAGATAACCTCCAAATAATAAATTCTTTAAATTATATAGTAATAAAAAATAACAAATAATCATGATACAAAACTATCCTATATCCTAAGTTGAAATAAATCATACAAAAATAAAACCAAAATTTAATGATTAATTAAAAAATCTCATAATTTGGTACACTAATTCAAAATTGTAATACTAGATCATTAATTTAATTAAAGATTGCTTAAATAATAATACAATTAAACATTATCTTACCATACTAGATTCACTAGAACTTCTCGGTGTATGTTCGTGTGCAAGTTCTGTTGAAAATAGTCGATGAAATGCAGGCGAAGCTGCAGCTAATAAACATCGATGCGCCGGAAATGTGCAATTGCCTGTTATTAATGTGACATCGGTGTGAACTGGCTTTGTCCATAATGTTTTCATATTTTCTTCATATGTACTGGCTGTTAAATAAACTTCCGGTGGTTCTGGTTTAGGTGGACAAAATGGTGCCTAATAATAACAAATAATAATAATAATAATAATAATTAATTAGTTTCAATGATTAATTCATCAATATTAAATAATAATAATAATAATAATTGAGAATAACCTGAAGTAAGGGTCTTTGTACCCTTTTTAAATTAGTCATCCAAAAACGTTGTTGTCTTCTGGCAATTAGGGCAGCACGTATAGAATTTTCGAATACTGCATTGACACCATAATAAGTGAATACACTTGTCTCATAATAACACACGCCTAATTCACGTGCTACTGCTCTTGCTTGGTCAGGCATTACCAAATCACTTTTTCTAGTAGCCCTAATTTAATTAATTAGAAAAAAAATAATAATATTAAAATCAAATAATTATTATTTGAGTAAATTAATTTTTATTTATATATATATATTAGTATTATATATAACTTTTTTATATAATAAATAAATTTATGTATATTTAATTTTCTATTATCAATTCTACTTATATTATTAATATAATTATTAAATAAAATAAAAAATAATTATATATATATATATATATAATATTTAAAAATTATATATAATATTTAAATTTATAATATTTATTATTATATAATATTTAAAAATTATATTTATAATATTTATATAATATATTTATATAATTTTTTATAATTATAATTTATAATTTTATCTAAATATTTAGTAATTTAATATATATTTATTTTTAATTTTGTATTATTAATTTTATTTATTATTAATATAAAATTATTAAATAAAATAAAAAAAATTATATATAATAATATATATATATATATATAATAATTAATATAACAACTTAAATATATAGATATAAATAATTATTTGATTTATCTCTATCTTCTTGTATTTACAAAAAGTTTAACTCTAGAAATAATTATTTAAAAAAAAAAAAAAACAAACAAACAAACAAATATTTCCAATAATATTTTCTCACTTTTATCTTTCTTCTTATTTTGTTTTTTCTTTTGTTATTTTTTTTTTTAAAGTTCATCATCGTTAAAGTAAATGCACGTGTATTCGCAAGAGAAATGACTAAAAGTCCGTATGAACTTTTAACAAAATCTCGTGGGAGTATGTTAAAAAAAAAAAAAAAGTATTTTTACACAATGACGTATATAACACAAAAGATTTGATATTTAATTTAATCTCAAACATTCTCTCTCTCTCTCTCTCTCTTTTGTGATTTATTTTATGTCAATGGAAATTTTCTTTTTTTTTTTTTTTCTTTTTTTATCTTCGACGTCATTGGTACGAAGAGGAAAGTGATAAACCAACGAAGACTTTTCAAGAATCAATACTTTGACATACTTTACTATTAAA